GAATGGAACGGAACGGAATAGAATAGAAAATAGAATAAAAAATAGAATAGAATAGAAGAGAAAATGGAATAGAATAGAAAATAGAATAGAAAATAGAATAGAATAGAATAGAATAGAAAATAGAATAGAATAGAAAATAGAATGGAAAAGAAAATAGAATAGAATACAAAATAGAATAGAATAGAATACAAAATAGAATAAAATAGAATACAAAATAGAATAGAATACAAAATAGAATAGAAAATAGAATAGAATAGAAAATAGAATAGAATAGAATACAAAATAGAACAGAACAGAATAGAATAAAATAGAGCTGGAAGGGACCTTGGAGGTCTTCTAGTCCAGCCCCCTGCTGAAGAACTGAAGAAGCTTCAGTGTATATACATATACATGCTCTGATTGAGCGACGATTGGTTTTAAAAAAGTTCTTGTTGTTGATCTCTTGTGGTTCTCCTGCCTAAAATATTTCAGAAATGGGGAAAAAAAATGTCTCAAAAGCATCGACTGGTAACGAGAACTCGCTTTTGTTGCCGTGCTGCAATAATTCTTTATTAAGGCCCTTTATAATAAGCAAATGTTTGCTGTCACTGTGAGCTATTTCACTTGTAGTTTATATCCCTCAGAATTAATTGTAGCATTTAAAAGTCTTGGGGGGATTTTTTTTTTTTTTTTAGGCATGTCAAATCGCACAAAATAACATTTAGATCTATATTTAGCCAGCCTACGCTGTAAATAATTACGGAACATCTGGAATTGGTAAAGGGATGAAGGATAGCTTGCTAGAAGAAACTTTCCTCTTTGCTAGGCAGTTCTGATTTTTTCCCATGTTCGTCTCTCGTTTGGCGTTGCTGAAAATAAAAAAAAACGTGCTCATTATACTCTTGTGTGCCGTTTGGAGACACGGGGACGGTGAGCTACATTACAGATTAGCCTGCTTTGGGAAAAAAAAGGCAGCTGTGCATTTCCATCTCCCTCTGCAAATTTCTTTTTTAAAGCAAGCAACATCTTCAGAATGAAATCCATAGACTCAGGGACGAGAACAAGAAAACGGTATTTTTCTGAGAAACAGAAACAGTATTTGTCGGTGTATTTACTACTGTTAGTGTGGCTGTCCTAAAAATAGTTGGAGATCGTCTCATAGAATCATAAGCCTGGAAGGGACCTTGGTGGTCTTCTATCCCAACCTGTTACTCAAGACAGGAGACCATCCCAGTCAAATGATTGTCCAGTCTGTTTTTAAAAACCCTCCAGTGATGGAGCTATCCCCAACTCCGGGGCAAGATATTCCATTCGTTAATTGCACTGATTTTCTCCTTACTTAATTGTTGTATCTCAGCTTCCACCGATTACGTCTTGTCTTGCCATCGGATGCCCTGGCTCAGGAATTCTGGGAGTTGAAGTCCACAAGTCATAAAAGAACCAAGGTTGCTTATCCCTGCCCTAGAGAATAAGTCAATCCCTTCTTCTCTGTGACAGCTCCTTAAGTACTGGAAGACAACCATCATGCCCATCCTAATCGTTATTTTCAGTAGGCTAGACATATCTAGGTCCCTCAATTATTTGTCATACAGTTTAGCCTCCAGCCTCTGACATCTTTGTTGTTCTTCTCTGCACTATTCACTTCTTTCCAGAGTATCAACATCTTTTTTGTATTATAGTGACCAGAACTAGACACAATATTCCCAGCGTGGTCTCATCAGCATGGTGTAAAGTGGTACTATTACTTGTCGTCGTGTTGATGCAATCCTTCGGTTGATGCAGCTTAAGATGTTGATGCATTGGCTGTTTTTGGCAGCTGCAGCACGCTGCTGGGATGCTGCTGTACAGTTGTATTGCCTTTTAATTACCTGTTTATGCCTCTTTTTCCAAACGGTCTGGTTAAATAACCTGTTCAGGGCTGTGAAACACTTAAGAGGCATGGATAGAGGAGAATATTAGTTGCTCAGGGCTGACATGAGGGGTCCTTGGTGCTCTTTGAGGTTGGTGGTTTTCTTGCAGATGTTTCATTACCTAACTAGGGAACATTATCAGTGCTAGAAGAGAGTGGGGTTTGCGGGGAGGAGGAGGAGGAGGAGGAGGAGGAGGAGGAGGAGGAGGAGGAGGAGGAGGAGAAGAAGAAGANAAGAAGAAGAAGAAGAAGAAGAAGAAGAAGAAGAAGAAGAAGAAGAAGAAGAAGAAGAAGAAGAAGAAGAGAAAACGACGACGATGACTGAGGGGTCCTTGGTGCTCTCTGAGCTTGGTGGTTTTCTTGCAGACGTTTCATTACCCAACTAGGGAACATTATCAGTGCTAGAAGAGAGTGGAGTTTGCGGAGAGGAGGAGGAGAAGGAGGAGGAGGAGGAGGAGGAGGAGGAGGAAGAAGAAGAAGACAACGATGACTGTGGGGTCCTTGGTGCTCTCTGAGCTTGGTGGTTTTCTTGCAGACGTTTCATTACCCAACTAGGGAACATTATCAGTGCTAGAAGAGAGTGGGGTTTGCGGAGAGGAGGAGGAGGAGGAGGAGGAGGAAGAAGACAACGATGACTGTGGGGTCCTTGGTGCTCTCTGAGCTTGGTGGTTTTCTTGCAGACGTTTCATTACCAAACTAGGTAACATCATCAGGGCACAGTAAGACGCATTGGAAAACCTCTCTGGATGTTCCATTGCTTGTTAATTTGGGTGGGGGCTGAGATATGAGGTCCCCTCCTGAACTCACCAACCTTCAGTGAGTCAACAATTAACTTTTTGAAATTACTGATAGGTTGAAATCTATGTTAGTAACCTGAGCTAACTTTATCTTCCTAAAGCTTATCACGAGGATGGACTTCTTTGTAAAAGTCCGTAGTAGCAGGTCACCTGTCACCGAAGCCCCTTGGCGTTTGCGCGTGAAAAATATCTTTCGCGGGAACTAACAAATCAAGTTTAAGTTTCTGAAGAAAGGAATAAGCCTGTATCTCCGTTCGCTAAATAAGGGCTGGGCATTCTTTTGAGAACAGTGTGCACATCTGGAATTTTGAAGGAACACTTCTGGGTTTGTATAAACTGGCAGCTGGCAGGAAATGGCTTCTTTAAATATATCTTCCATAGAAGCCATGAATAAATACAAGCTAACTGTGATAGGAAAGCAAAGTAACGGGATTCGTTCTTTTCACCCTATAAATCTACCCAAAATGTTGCATACCGTTATCTGTTTTCCTTACCTGGTGGATACGCTTCCAAATTAGGTAGTTTTAATTGTATTTCTTCACTAGGTTTGTATCCTGCCATTCCTCCAAGTGTAGAAGGCACGGTACATTTCTTTTTCACAGCAATAACCAGTAGTGTAGGTTGATCCAATAGGTAGTAGTTATCCAGTCAATTTCTACAATCTATGGAGCATAGATACAGTCACCAGGAGCCAAGTTGAATTCAACATTTTGTTTGCAACCAAAGACACAGATAAGGGGTGTCCTTCCTGTATTTTTTATTCAACATACTGAACCCATCCTAGTGCCCTGATTTTTCTTTTAAAAAAAAAAGCAATATATTTTTTATTGAGGGTTTGATTAAAAAAAATAGTGAGAAGGCAATGTTCATAGGATGTAACCGGTCCCTCTATTTGCCCCAGTTCTATGCTTCATTAGTAATTATTAATTACTACTAAATCTAGATTTTGAAGGCAGCTATGATAGACCAGTCAAAATAGTTCTGTTGTAAATTTATCATGTATAAAAGAAAATAAATTACAAGTAGGGAGGAGACATTAACTCTTACTGTGTGTTGATCTCTAGGTCTTCCTGAAAAATGGATGATGACTACTTTGGAGGATTTGAGGTATGGAAGTAAGGATATTTAAAATGTTCGCCAATGATATTTTCAATAATGGAAGCTATGGAGCACTCCGAATTCGGAAGCAGAGCGATCGATCTCTCTGTGTAAATTATCTGTGTAAATTATTCTGTCACCTGCAATGTGTCCGATTCTAATTTGTGTAACTTGTTATGGATTTACTAGTTGCTAAGAAGGTCAAGAAAACACAATTTACACTTGAAATGCCCTGGGATATTCTATTACTTCTTCGAATATCAAGAGGTAAAATTTCTCCAAATGTTCAGAACTGGAGTGTAAATGTTGATCCCGTCTCCGGAATCTTTAGCAAGTGATTGCTTTCGCAGAGTTGGAAACCAGCTTATATTTATTTCCCCTCTTTACCAAATTCTTGTGTTTTAAAAGTGTCAGAATCCTGGACTTCTGCATCCTGATGTGGTAGTTATTCCCTTGAAGGAGTTCTCCCTAAGATCCTTCAGAGTCTGAAAACCTGGCTGCAGAGGGTAGTTGAAATCCTGTTTGATTAAACCCAGGATTGCATGCTATAAAGTCACCGGTGCTAATTTTTGTGTGTGTGTGTGTGTGTGTGTGTGTGGGGTGGCATTTTATCCCCCCCCCTCTTTTTCCTAACAGAGTGCCAAAAGTTAGGAATACAGGAAGCTGGTTTATACTGGTTGGGAGACCCATGCCAGGGGAGCGAATTTCCTGACCGTTGGGCCAATGTTTAATATAAAGTTATGCCAAACTTCACATTTTTATATAATATGGAAAGAAAATATTTTTGGCATAAATAAACAGCCAATCAGGGTAAAGTAACAGGGCGCTTTCAAATGCTCACACACTAGTAATCAAGGAGAGATGTAGCCTAGAATGAAGGAGAAACTTCCTGACAGTGAGGACAATTAACCAGTGGAACTCCTTGCCTCCAGAAGTTGTGAATGCTCCAACACTGGAAGTTTTTAAGAAGAGACTGGACAACCATTTGTCTGAAATGGTATAGGGTCTCCTGTTTGAGTAGGGGGTTGGACTAGAAGACCTCCAAGGTCCCTTTCGACTCTATTCTGTAACTAAGTAGTAAAACAAAGGTGGGAAGTGTCACAGTATTTGATTATGTACCATACTGTACTATATAATTCATTTGTTGAAGGTGCCAGACAGATTTTGATGTGACTGTTTTTCTCTAGCGTCACCTTATTGATGAACAAGCTCCTTAAAAAAAATATACAGGGAGCACAAGATCAACCAAACTGCAATCTTAGTGAAAGTTGAAATAGCATGAAAATGCCTTTCTTCAAAATCATATAAAAATGGCGCCATGAGTAGCATCTGGACAGCCAAAGGCCACATGTATGGCTACATTGCAAAAATCTGCCGGGGAAAAAACAACAACAACTAGATTTGATTTAGCTCAGTCCAAGTACAATTAAATAAAGTGTCATGGCCATTTGTCTTCTGGTGCTCCCCACAGAAATAATAATAATAACAATAATAACAATAATAACAATAACAAGAAGAGAAAGAGGAAGAAGAAGAAGAAGAAGAAGAAGAAGAAGAAGAAGAAGAAGAAGAAGAAGATGATGATGATGATGATGATGATGATGATGATGGAAGGGACCTTGGAGGTCTTCTAGTCCAGCCCCCTGCTCAGGCAGGAAACCCTATACCATTTCAGACAAATGACTGTCCAGTCTATTCTTAAAAACTTTCAGTGTTGGAACATTTACCGCTTCTGGAGGCAGGTTGTTCCACTGGTTAATTATTCTAACTGTCGGGAAGTTTCTCCTTAGTTCCAGGTTGCTTCTCTCCTTGATTAGTTTCCATCCGTTGCCTCTTGTCCTGCCTTCAGTGTGTGCATTGGAGTGTGTGCATTGGAGCCATGGACACCAAACTGGGCTTCAGAACTGCTTGGAAATTCTTCAAATCAGTAATGAACATTGAAAGAAAATCTTGTGCCTAGTTGAACAATAATGTGCCTTGCACTTTCAGGCTGCAGAAATTTTTTTTAAAGATGGAAACAGTGAACCCCAGACAACGTCTCCTGCTATTCCTTGGGCGGCCTTTTCCACAGGTATATAGAGAAATACTGGTAATTTATGTCTTTCTTACGGGTTTTTTACGGGTTTTTCTGACTACTGGGGGCGGTGTCAAGAGAGGAACCAGTCTGGAGTCATTACATTCCCACAAGCGAAATCCAGCCTCTTTTGAAACCCGTTAACTCTTATCTAGCTCTAATTTAGTGCTGACCCTTAGCTGACCAGATTCTTGTGTATAGGCTTGAGCAAAAAATCTTAATGTGTGCTCCTGATACTTTGTGCCTGACATTAAGATACGTTAGTCCTTTTATTTCATACACACATACACAGACATATACACTATGATGGAGATAGATTCGTTTACTTAGTATAGCAGAAGCATCTTAGACCGGTGTTTTTCCAGCTTGGCAACTTGAAGGCGAGTGGACTTCAACTTCCAGAATTTCCCAGCTTGAAAAAGATGTTTTGATTTTTCTTCCATTTCTACAAGACTCCACACGCTTTGAGGTTCTTTACTGATTGGAATAATAATCCCATAGCCAGAGAAGTGAGTTCAATCATCTCGAACATTTCAGAAGTGAAATTCTCAAGCTTACAAACGCTTTAATGTTTCCAATCCCTACTGGCTTATAATAAGGGTTATTACACTATATTTCCCCCCAATACTATAACATTACATAGTATTTGTCTTGGGTTCTCAAGATGCCTTCCCACATAATCTTTAGAACAGTTTTGTGAGATGTTGTGAGCAACTTAGTGAGATGTTGCGTAGTGGAGAAACAGTCAAAGAATTAGATGTTTGATTTTCGAGAAAGAGTGGAGATTTGATCTATGGATTTGCCATCTGCAATTTTATCCTGCTGCCTATATAGAATGTGCAGAAAACTAGACAGTGTGTAAATTCACTCCAGTTTGTGCAGAGTAGACAGACGCCAATTAAGCAATATCTGTTTGGCGCATTTAATGCCTAAGCCGTTTTCCAAATCAGCATAACTGCAGAAACGTATAGAGTTCTTGCTATACATCAGACAATTATTTTTACAAAGCAATTTCTATTCCTTTCATGTTCTTGCCAAAATATAGGCATAAAATATAAAATACGCATTGTGTTTTGGGGATATTTGCGGCAAACTCTTTTGCACAATTAAAACAATTTGAAACTTTCACTCATGGCGTTTGTTTGCTCTTATGCTCTTACATCAGGGAAACTTATGAGAATTGGTACTATTTTATTAAAAAAAGAATATATATGTGTGTGTGTGTGTATGCATGCATGTGTGTAAGTGTGTGCAAATTAAACTACTTTTGATAAGTAAAGACATGCAGAACTAACTTATTTTAATCCTAAATTTACTCGCAGCAGTTTTAGTAAGCAAATTTGTGTTTTGTTTATATGGTAATTTGTCGAATTTTTTTGGCTAGCACACTGTTATTTTTAGCTTCGCAGAAAGATACAAACTTTTAAAAACAGATGTCTTTTGAAATTTCTTTTCCTTTCACTTGCATTCCTTTCTCTTCCTTGTTTTCCACCAATAGTGCCTGAAATTCTTGTGCCACCGACAGTTTCAGCCGAGCTGCTTCCGAAACAGGCTCCAGATGATGTACCAGCAGACATTCAACTGCCACCCAATACTTTAAGTGCAGCTGATCTTAAAGAGAAGGTAAAAAAAAGGATTTTATCATTACTTTTAATGCACGCAACAATACTTTTTAAACAGAATCCACGGATTGCAAATAAATTGTAAGTAGAGAAGGACTAGGGGTGACATGATAGCTGTCTTGAGGGACTGTCCCAGAGAGGAATGGGTCAACTTATTCTCCAAAGCAGCTGAAGGCAGGACAAAAAGCAATGGATGGAAGCTCATCCGAGGAAGATCCAATCTGGAACTCAGGAGAAATTTCCCGAGAGAAGTTGTGAGAATTAATTAATCAGTGGAAGAGCTTGCCTCTGGAAATTGTGGGTGCTTTATCAATGGAGGGTTTCAAGGAGATACTGGGTAGCCATTTGTCTGGAATGGTATGGACCAGGGGTAGGCAACCTTGGCTCTTTTATGACTGGTGGACTTCAACTCCCAGAATTCCTGAGCCAGCCATGCCGAGGGGAAAGGGAGAGGTTTCCAAGCTGAGCCACGCTGGCTCAGGAATTCTGGGAGTTGAAGTCCACAAGTCTTAAAGTTGCCAAGGTTGAGAACCCCTGATATAGGACAGGGGTGGGCAACCTTGGCTCTTGTATGACTGGTGGACTTCAACTCCCAGAATTCCTGAGCCAGCCACGCTGAGGGAAAAGGGAGAGGTTTCCAAGCTGAGCCATGCTGGCTCAGGAATTCTGGGAGTTGAAGTCCATGAGTCATAAAAGAGCCAAGGTTGTCTACCCCTGGTCTAGGGGGTTGTCTACCCCTGGTCTATGTTTCATCACATGATTCAATCTGTACATCTCATTGTTTGTGTCTTCCATAAAGCAGTCAGTTGATCCGCCGTTGACTGAAAATCCAGAAAGAGCATCTGCCAGTTATGATGAAGCTGATACAAAATCAAGGCAAGATGATTCTGCAAAGCATTTTCAACAAACCCTTTCAGCTCTGGAAAGTAAACTTCAAACAGCAGACGAAGAAAAAGCTAGGATAAAAAAGGTATAGCTACAAGTCTACAGAAACTCCCCTTCAGGACTGTGTGGTTGTTGATCAGGGGTGGGAACGATGGCCCCTTTACGACCTGTGGACTTCGACTCCCAGAATTCCTGAGCCAGCCATGCTGGCTGGCTCAGGAATTCTGGGAGTCGAAGTCCACAGGTCGTAAAGGGGCCATCGTTCCCACCCCTGGTTTCTACATGGTGAGAGCATCAATCCATTATCTCCTTCTGTTCCTCTGGGCCATGCTTACCTTTCTTTGTGGCCTCTTGACCAGGAGTGTTTTGTGGAACACAGTGTGGGGAAAAAAAGATGTTTTTGAGGACTCCTTATAGGTTCACTAGAAGGATCTTGACAGATTTGAACCCCAGGCCACGTCCAACAAAATGCAGTTCATTGTTGAGAAATTAAGGCCCAGGCCTTAGGGAAGAAAAGTCAAATATACAGATATAGAAGAGAGGGTGCCAATAGCAGCAACAGTGAAAGGTATCTAGATGTCCTAGAGCAGGGGTCTTCAAACTTGGCCCTTTTATGACTTGTGGACTTCAACTCCCAGAATTCGTGCCTGGCTGACAAATTCTGGGAGTTGAAGTCCAGAAGTCATAAAAGGGCCAAGTTTGAAGACCCCTGTCCTAGAGAATAACTATTTAAGTATGAGCCAGCTGTGTGGTGCAGCTGCCCCAAAAGCCAATGAAGTTCTAGGCTGCATCAACAGAAGGATAGTATTAAGATCGTGTGACGTGTTAGTACTGCTTTATGTTGCCCTGGAAGGACCACATTTGAAACATGGCACCGAGTTTTGGTCACCACCATACAAAACAGATGTTGAGACTCTAGAAAGAGTGCAGAGAAGAGCAACAAGGATGATTAGGGGACTGGAGGCTAAAACGTACAACGAATGGTTGTGGGAACTGAGTATTTCTAGTCTAACAAGGAGATGGACAAGGAGTGACATGATAGCGGTCTTCTAATATTTGAGGGGTGGTCACAGACAAGAGGGAGTCAAGCTATTCTCCAAAGCATCTGAAGGCAGGACAAGAAGCAATGGATGGAAACTAATCAAGGAGAGAAGCAACCTGGAACTAAGGAGAAACTTCCTGACAGTGAGGACAATTAACCAGTGGAACAACCTGCCTCCAGAAGTTGTGGGTGCTCCATCACTGGAGGCTTTTAAGATGAGACTGGACGATACCTTGACTGAGATGGTATAAGATCTCCTGCTCAAGCAGGGTTAGAGTAGGAGACTAGAAGCTCCTTTCCAATTGTTTTATTTTGTATTCTGTTCTGTAAGTTGGACCCTGAGTGGCAAATGTAGCTGACAATTATAAAAGAGATGTTTTTAAAAAGCCATTTTCTTTTTTTAGGAGTTAGAAGATCTTTTGGAAAAACACAGGACTTTGGAAACCGATTACCTGAAAGAAAAAGATGATAAATTAATTTCACATAAAGATATATACAACAAGCTCCAGGTAATGTTTTAAGATTTGTATCTCCTGAGGTCCTTCTTGATTGCTCTGTTAATTTATAGGCCCAACCCTAAAGAACGATAGAAATAGAAAACAAAATGCATCTGTTTAAAAAAAGAACTGAGGGGTAGAGCTATTTTGAATAGGGCCTGCTGTTCAGTTTATCTAGCCATTTGTGCTGGTTATAACCCTTCTCTGTGTTTATTGTGTTTATACATCCATTTTTAAAATCTCATCACTCAACTGAGCACTGAAAAAATGTGTATTGGGACAAACATCTTGACACAGAAAAACAAAAGAAAACCTAAATATGAGAAATATGAAGATGGATCCATATCAATAAACGAGAGTATTTGTAGCCCAGGGTTGAAATGAGGGATCTCTGAGCTTGCTTGTTTTCTTGCAGACATTTCAATGCACTGATGATGTTACTTAGTTTGGGTAATGCCTCTTAGTGTGCCCTGATGATGTTACCTAGTTTGGTAATGAAACGTCTGCAAGAAAACAAGCAAGCTCAGAGAGCACTAAGAACCCCACAGTCGTCGTTGTCCTCCTCCTCCTCCTCCTCCTCCTCCTCCTCCTCCTCCATCATCATTCCACAAACCCTATTCTCTTCTGGCACTGATGATGTTACCTAGTTTGGTAATGAAACATCTGCAAGAAAACAAGAAAGTTCAGAGGGCACCAGGGATCCATATCAGAAAGTTGTCACAGCAGACCTATGACAGATAGATTGCCTTTAATTGAAAGACTTATTCAAAGCTCCTACCTTAACCTAGATTAAACTCCAAGGAACCTCCATTGCTAAGGATCCTATCCTGTTCTTGTGTTCTGATTGAAGCTTGAGTCCAGGTGAATAAGTGAATCAAACTTTTAGGACTTCCGTCGCTTGTTTTCTTCATGGAAGTAGAATGTAGGCCATCTTCACTCGGTCCCCTTCTAGGTACCGTGTTGGTTTTGCCTTCTCTGGCGTTAGGACCCGCACCTGTGACCACACAGCAAGTAAGCTGAAAAGTACAGCTGTACAGCTTGTCAGCAACTTCATTCAGCGAAAACAGCTGGCTCTGGTACTGCATAAGTAAGAGAAAAACCAACATGAATCACGGACTTGGTATTTTTCCAGATGAATCTGTAGGTACTCCGAGTCTTTGGGATCTCACAATTAGTATAAAGGGCAAAAGCTCTTGGGATTTTGTAGAAGCTTAGCCAACGTATTGTGGTGGAACAAGTTCTTATGGGCCAAAGGAAGGTATAAGAAAAGTTGCTTTAACTCAGTGTTTCTTAACCTTGACAATTTTAAGGCATGTGGAATTCTGGGAGTTGAAGTCCACATGCCTTAAAATTGTCAAGGTTGAGAAACACTGCTTTAACTAGTTTTTAACCCAAGATCAGCAAACGTTTCATGCAGCACCCCCAAACCGCGCAGGATGAAAGTCAGAGTGGGAAGTTACTACTGAATCCTTTTCAGATATAAGTTGCACAGATGAGGCTCCTTCCGACGGGCGTTAGTCACGCATGCTTCCTCCAGCTTTTAGGTCTCCTGATATTTACTATAGGCTTGCATCTCCCAGAACGAGCATTGGAAAGTTTTAATTACAGTTTTTCAATTGTCAAATCCGTTCCCAAGCCGATATACGCGTATATATTTAGATTCTCAGCAAGATCCTGTTCTTGAAAAACAATGCAACTTCATGTGGTTTGGTCTCCTCTTTCAAACATAGTTACACTATTTTCTTTTAGAGTTGGCAACCGCTGCCTCTTTTTTTGGGAATTAAACTCAAACCCTGGATTTGATTTTGAAGCCTGAAATGTGTCTTTATACTCCTGCCACCCCTCTTATTTATTTCATATCTTAAAGCTGGAAGAATTCTCGTTGCAATTCACTCTGTCCCGGTGGTAATTAGGAAACAATGGCAAGAAGTGATTCAGAAGAGCATCATCGCTGCTGACATTTAGGATAAAAATAGCCTTGGATTTCATTATTCTGAACTATCTCAAACTCAGGGATTGGGTTACGAACTGATCCTCTGGAGACCCAAAATTTTAATGTACGCTTTTGTGGGAGAGGTTAAGGTATTCAAAGCAACTAAAGAACAGCAAAATTTCGAAGCTTTCAGTCCCTCTGTAGTAAATACAAAATAGGGATTGGATCAGGAGAGAGAAAGAACTACTGCAGGAAGAGAATTCTGCATATTAAAAATATATATTCTGTCAAGATACTAATTGGAGTGACAGCTGAAGAGTCACCAATTAAATAAACATGGTTTACCATTTTAAATTTATGTAATTGATCACATATAAATAATTATGAAAGTCACCTGTCTTTTTATTAAAGTCACCTGTAATTGGAACAACCACACTGTTGTCAAAAGGAAAAATAATTAAAACCAATTTAACTTCTTTTTAGATACGTGATAGTAACGTATCAGAAATAAAATAGTTTCAAATCAAGTCAAATAAATCAAATCAAATCAACTTGAAGTAAAGTTGTATAATAATAATAATAATAATAATAATAATAATAATAATAATAATAATAATAATAATAATAATAATAAAGTTGAAAGGGACCTTGGAGGTCATCTAGTTCAACCCCCTGCTCAGGCAGGAAACGCTATACCATTTCAGACAAATGGCTGACCAGTCTCTTGTTAAAAACTTCCAGTGCTGGAGCATCCACAACTTCTGGTGGCAAGTTGTTCCACTGGTTAATTGTCCTCCCTGTTAGGAAGTTTCTCCTTAATTCCAGGTTGCTTCTCTCCTTGATGAGTTTCCATCCGTTGTTTCTTGTCCTGCCTTCAGGAGCCTTGGAGAATAGCTTGACTCCATCTTCTTTGGGGCAGCCCCTGAGATACTGGAAGGCTGCTATCATGTCCCCCCTCGTCCTTCTCTTCGTTAAACTAGACATTCCCAATTCCAGCAATCGTTCTTTATATGTTTTAGCCTCCAGTCCCTTTAGCATCTTTGTTGCTCTTCTCTGCACTCTTTCTAGAGTCTCAACATCTTTCTTACACAGTGATGACCAAATCCCCTTTTCTCCAAACAAGTGTTCGTTCCTCTTTATTGAAGAGCATAATGGGAAAGTATAATGCAACTTTTAGTATGCTGCTAAATCTTCAGTCAGCAAAACACTGTTTAATGGTTAAGAAGCAAAGAACCATTGTTCTTGAGAAGTCATTCCTCCTCATTAAGTACTAACTTGAGAAAACTTTGAGAGGTGAACTTGATGAAGCAGCTTCTCTGTTGAGTTCCAAACCTATCTTATTCCCAGTTATAGGAGTCTGAATTCTTGATTCCGAAGTGGCAATAAAGATGGAATGAAAAGTCTCTTTCTGAAGTAAAAAGGAAGGGAAGCCATGAACGATGAAGGATTGGCGGAGTGTTTTATTGAGGGTTATGAATATGATTCCAAAAGATGCATGTTTTGAAAAGCGAGTCTGCTGTCATCACACGTAGACGCCATATTAGAAAAAAGATGTTGAGACTCTGGAAAGAGTGCCGAAAAGAGCAAGAAAAATAATTTGAGGGCTGGAGGCTAAAAAAAAAAAAAGAAGAACAATTGCAGGAATTGGCTATGTCTAGTCTAGTGAAAAGAAGGACTAAAATTGACATGATAGCAGTCTTCCAATATTTGAGGGGCTGCCACAAAGAAGATGGGGTCCACTTATTCTCCAAAGTACTTGAAGGCAGGACAAGAAAGAATGGATGGAAACCAATCAAGAAGAGAAGCAATCTAGAACTAATTTCTAGGTTTCTGTCAGAAATTTCTATCAGAAATTTCCTGACAGTAAGAACAATCAACCAGCCAAACGACTTGCCTTCAGAAGTAATAATAATAATAATAATAATAATAATAATAATAATAATAATAATAATAATAATAATAATAATAATAATAATAGTAAAGTTGGAAGGAACCTTGGCGGTCATCTAGTCCAACCCCCTGCTCAAGCAGGAAACCCTAGACTATTTCGGACAAATGGCTGTCCAGTTTCTTCTTAAAAACTTCCAGTGTTGGAGCATTCACCACTTCTGGAGGCAGGTTGTTCCACTGGTTAATTGTTCTCACTGTCAGGAAATTTCTCCTTAGTTCTAGGTTGCTTCTCTCCTTGATGAGTTTCCACCCGTTGCTTCTTGTCCTGCCTTCAGGCGCCTTGGAGAATAGCTTGACTCCCTCTTCTTTGGGGCAGCCCCTGAGATACTGGAAGACTGCTATCATGTCCCCCCTCGTCCTTCTCTTCATTAAACTAGACATACCCAATTCCAGCAGCCGTTCCTTATATGCTTTAGCCTCCAGTCCCCTAATCATCTTTGTTGCTCTTCTCTGTACTCTTTCTAGAGTCTCAACATCTTTTTTACATTGTGGTGACCAAAACTGGATGCAGTATTCCAAGTGTGGCCTTACCAAGGTGTTGTAAAGTGGTATTAACACTTCACGTGATGTTGATTCTATCCCTCTGTTAATGCAGCCCAGCACTGTGTTGGCTTTTTTGGCAGCTGCAGCACACTGCTGGCTCATATTTAGGTGATTGTGGGTGCTCCATCACTGGAGGTTTCCAAGGAGAAATTGGACAGCCATTTGTCTGAATTGGATCTCCTGCATGAGCAGGAGGTTGGACTAGATGTCCTCCAAGGTCCCTTCCAACTCAGTTATTCTGAATCTGGAACATCTAGATTGGTCCTTTAATCATTGAAGTATGTAGGATAATCTTTGTAGGTTGGTAGATCTGAATACAAGCTGCTTGGTAAGGTAGCTTGGGTGTGTATCTTGGAGGTAGGTGATTTCTGTGAGGAAAAACACTAGAAAATGTATGTGGTTTTCTTTTTTAAAAGTAATACGACTTGCATCCTGTTAAATACCATCTTCTAACAAAATATTTAGGTTGGTTTTCGGCTCAGACATTGAGGAGACAGAACCTGAATAATGAAAAATAGTGTTCAAAATCTACTGTATCTGCCTGTGAATTGGTAGATGAGATTCCTGGAATACTGACAAATTAAGG